GAGCTCTCACTTATTCACATGTTCCATGGTGCAACATCCTAGGGCATAGCTGTACTTCCCATGACAATCTACTTTAGAATTATTGTGAGCCATCTTGGAAAACTACACAGGGTTATACAAGGGTGGTTAAAAGTAAAACTGGATGACTGGTAAAGGGGATGCTATAGACATTTAGTAAGCTGGACATTGTTTTCTAATATAAGCATTGGAAAAATGTTAGGTGAAATGTCTCTTTTCTAGAAACCTCCTAGACCCTAATGGCAGGGGTCACTGTCACTGATTTGAGCACAATGCCTCTTGTACCACCAACAGTGAACATATGAGCTATTAGAATTCCCTACTAGGGAATGAAATTCTCCGTGTAGGTAGTGACTGTTTCTGTTCATATTACCTTCACTCCCTAAACATATATTCCTTTTTCATGACATCTCAAAATACCTGTATAAACTTGTACATTCCTAAAAACAGCTCCACAAGTCCTAAAACAAAAAAAAAAATAAAAATACTGTGATGACAAGAACTTGAAAATTTTATTCTGAATGGAAGGATTTACTGTACCTCTCCTAGTTGCTAGCTAAATACGTAGAATAAAACAATTAGCAAAGGGAGGGGAGTGTAATTGGAAGTGGGAGGGAAGGGATGGTAGGGGAAAAACAAAGAAGGAGGCAACAATGCTTGATATGAAATGTATCTGTAACCCCTCTGTACAGTATTTTCACAATAAAAAATTTATGAAAAAAACAATTAGCAAGCCTATGGCAAATTTGAAGATACAATACACAATCTTATTTTAATATCTGATAAGTAATACTTCTTCCTAAGACTTGCATATTGCTATTATATAGCAATATGCATTTAAATTGAAAGTCAACAAGTTAAAAACAGGTTTAAAAATACACATATTTGGAACTTCAAAAAAGTCCCACAAAAGATATCTACCATGTCCAAAACTGACTTGCAGTCATCTAGCAAATGTTCAAGGGATGACTAAGGCAATGGAAATAATAGTTAATATTGCTGGCTGTTGCCATCTCTTGCCTATAGAATGAAGTACTTCTAAAGGAAACACCAACTACTTAAATTTGCTCCCATATAATGTGGATTCAAGCTGAAAGTAAAGAAATTCAGGATAATATTAAAATAAGCAAAAAGATATATACATACATATACATAGATGTGTATGCATATGCATGTGTATCATACATATGTACATGCGTCAAACATCTACCATTTTCAGGCTTTTTTCTTTTCTTTCTTTTTTTTTTTTTTGCTTATGTGGTGCTGAGGAATCGAACCCAGGGCCTCATGCATGCAAGGCAAGCGCTCTACCACTGAGCCACCTTCCCAGCAACCTACTACCATTTTCAAAGAACCATGTCCCAGAAATTCTACAGAATAAGGAAAGAAGTTGAACTCAGTGTCCATTTGCAACAATAACTGGAAAAGACTTTCTGAAAAAATCTACAAAGTAAACCTAAGAATAAAGTCTCCTATCTTCGCCTCCAGATGACAAGCACTACATGAGGATGAGCAAACTTTAACTGGAACTTTTGGTCAAACTATTTAAAATTATAAAGGGCTGACCCACTGGAAGTTATCTTGTTGCAGACCATCTTCCGCAGGCTGCCTTTAACTACAGTTAGACCTACAGTTGCGGCTCATTTGAAGAGGGAAAGCCATAACTGAAGGGCAGGGAAAGGTCAATTTTTCTCAATTGCTCTATTGTTATAGGTGTAACCAGATGGAAAAAACAAGAGCTCCAACGTGGTATATTGGAACAGAAAAAGAGGAATTACTTCATTGTAACTACTTGAAAACTCTGGAACCTATTATATTAAATTCTCCTGTATGTTAGTTATATGGTTCACAAGTCAAAAAAAGTAATCCAAATTTGGAAGGCTAAGAGTCTTCTTAAAATTCAATTAAAATTTTATTTAAAAGGGTCTGTACTATGATATGCTCCATTTACAGACCTTACATTTGGCAAGAAGGCTTTTCTCTTATTATCTTACAATAAGAGTTCCGGAAATGCGGGGCTGGGAAGGTGGCTCAGTGGTAGAGCGCTTGCCTTGCATGCATGAAGCCCTGGGTTCAATTCCCCAGCACCACATAAGCAAAAAGAAAAAAAAAAGAGTTCCGGAAACGCAAGTTTAATTTTCTTCTTATTTCAATATTTCATGAGGACTTCTCAGTGCATAGTCTCTAAAAGCCTTTGATTACTGACATGACAATAGTTCAAGTAATGTAGAAGATTTTATTTGCATAAGTTCTAATTGTTGGAATTTTTAATGTCCTTCTCTTGTACGTTTAAGGAAAAGATTATAATGTACAGAATTATATTCCACTGCTTTACATAAACAAACATCTTTTATATGGATACCTGATATGACTTAAAAAATATCCACCCAAATTTGGTAATACCCATCTTCCTCTGATGGACTTTTACTAACAGAACAAACGTATGTTCAAGTAGAAGCTGTCCAGATCCTTCCAGGTGCATATAGTAAAGCAAAGCCATCACTGTGATGAAAGCATCTTCAAATTTCTCCATAACTTGTGTTCCCGCACCACCATAAAGCTATACCATATGAGATTCCAGGGCTACTGGAAAATAAGTGCACAGAGAAGATTCATTTACTTTTTTCAGATTAAAGTTCTAATTAACAAAACCACACTTTGTTGGTTGGGGTCCTTTGTGTATGCTATTGCTTCCTTCAAATATCAACATTTATATTATACTTAGATTTTTAACAAAACAGGGAAGTACATATGTTCATAAATCTGTGATAACTGAAATCTCAGACACCCAAATGTCTTATAAACTCTTGATTTTTTCACTAACATAAGTGACATGTTTCAGAACAAACATTCTATGCTAATATGAGATTTGTTCAAATGCCTATAAGCACATTTTGTTCAATGGCTGTAAATAATTGCTCATAAGCATATTTTGTTGAACAGCTGTATATCTGTTGTGGTGCACTGGATACTGATCGTATTTCTGTAATTATAAAATAAAATACATTCACGCTTAGTTGTCAGACCCTCCCTGCGGTGGTACCAATGACCGATAATCCACTGGCTGATAGCTGATTGAAGAGTTTCATTTTCATCACCAAAAGAGCTAGAGTAGCAGGACAATCTTTCTTCACAAATTTGAAGATGTTATGTAAATAATTAAAAACCGTGCTGTGACAGTACACAAGTAATAAGCAGAACTTGATGAGTGGATTTAAATATCAAGTCTGTGATTTGCTGAATATGAAGCATCACTGAGATTACGGTGTTTCAACAATCATTAAATGGTAGCATTAATTCAATCAAAGTATTAGTTCAAACTTTATAAAGGAAGAAAAGATCTGACATGCTGACATTTGGAAAACGGAGATCAAACATCTCTGTTCAATCATCCTGAACATTCTCCCTCCTCCCCATAACAAGAAAAGGAGGTTACAAAAGATCACCTTGGCCTTGAAAAATTGACAGCCGTATCGATTTCTGAAGAATTCACGCATGCATTCCCTTTGGTTTTATTCACTTTCATGGTACTTTTTTTTTTCTGCTAGTGCAGTATGATGTACAAAAAACCTAGTCGACATTCCTTTTCCCTTGTCTGTGTCACTTAAATCCTTGTGCTTAACTTCCTTTACAGGGCTTAAAGATGGATTGGTGCCAGTCATTCTTTGGACCCTTTAAGTGAAGCATGCTACCCAGGTGATGTATTTGCTGCCCAAGTGACATTTAGAAGCTGGAATTCATTTCAGCATGTCAACTTCCCCCAGCATGGTCAAGAAATAGCAAAGCTGAATCCCAGATGTGGCTCATTAATCCCGCTGTCACAAAATAAACTATCGGACCCAAGTAAACACAACTACCCATTAGCGCTAAGGAGAAGTGATAGGAACCATTTGTTAAAGGCGAGATGCTCTCTGAGTGATAATATTCTTTGAATCATGTGAATCGGTTTGTTTGCTCAACCACTTGGTATGTGTTTTTCCTGAGAGGAAAGACTTCAGCATATATTTACTTAGAGCTTTTAATTCATATTTCCTTTCCTTTTAATCAGTGGCTTCTGATCTAAAATTAGCTGACGAACATAGTATCTCATTCAAACTCTCTCAGTTGCCTTTGTAATAATTAGCTCCCCTATTGCCTGAAGTTGAACAGACATCTGGGAACAACTTTTGATTTCTTCCCTGGTGCTTCCTAGCCATATTTGGAGAATGGTTTTTAAAACCTGATATATAGTCATATTAATTACTATCCCAAGCTGGTATTAGGTTAATAATTTCATGCTAAACAAAAAAGTTTGAACAGGCTCGCCTATAATCTTAGTGAATAAGAAAGCTACATGCAAAGGAATTCTTTCTTGAAACCTGAGATTGTCAGAACGTGACTGCTCACCAATAAGCCGCATATCATTTTCACAAGGAAGAAAAGGGTCACGTGTCCTGTAAAATCCCACATTTGCTACAGACATTTACTATAGACATTCCTTCTTGTAGTCTTTTGTTTGTGCAGTAACGAGATACAGGTACAATGAGAGTGAATTAGCTTTCCTGGATGAGTGAAGAAAATAAATGTCTGCTCAATGCCCACAGCCAGATTTTATCTGCTATTTTTGCTTGCTGTCCTGTCCCTCCTTTCCCCCTCTCCCATCTTTCTCTTTTCCCTGTCTCCTGGATAGAGACAGCAGCATTCTCTTTGCAAGAACTGCAGGGATTGAAAATGATCCAGAAAAACTACAAGGATTGAAAACGATCCAGAGGCTTTGAATTTGCCCTCACCTTGACAACGCTAAAATCACAAGCAGCAGTCAACTTTTACAAGATAGCCTTATTGTGTAACATCTACAGGCTGCCAAAAACATGCTACAACTAATCAGATAACAAAGGTGAAGAGAAAACCTTCACCTGCCATGTAGCTAGCAGTGAATACGCTTCTTATTTCCATGACATTGGCTGGCAGAAAAGGGTTGGCTTAAGGCGGATCGGACTAACCTTCAATTTGTCATAGCGCTCACTCAAAGCTGCCACCTGATGATCGCGGTGCCGCCCAACCAGTTTACACAAGGCACAGATTAACTGGTCATCGGCCACACAGTACATATTCACCTTCTCATCCTCGTGCTCTAGGCACATCAGGCCCCGGATGTGCGAGTCCGGGATTGGCTCAATCAGACGATGGCCTGTGAAGGGCTTCTTGTTCGGGTGAGTGGCTTTCAGGCACTCATCGCAGTAGGACACTTCGCAAGTGACACAGGTTTTCACAGCGTCCTGGGCAGGATCCTGGTCACAGAACTGGCAGAGCACCTTCTCGGCAGAGGACATGGTGTTGGCGTCGAAGGGCCGCTCCCGGCGGGTCTCGCTAGGGGAATTAGGCCCGCTCACCGAGGCTTTCTGGAACCTGTCAATGATGTTCTGCAGGGTGACGTTGCGCTTGAGCCCGTCTAGACCTCGCTGGCTGAGCGTGATGACATGCCGGCAGGTGGGGCACTGGAAAGCGCTGATGGACTCCACAGGCTCGTTGGTGGCACAGTGCGACACCAAGATGCGGTGGGCACAGTTGAAGCAGAGGCTGTGTGCACAGGGCAGCAGGAGAGGGTCCTCAAAGAGCTCCAGACAAATAGGGCAGGTCAGCTCCGACTCGAGCGTTTCCATCTTCAGGCAAAGCTCTCCGGAGTCATCAGCAAAATCCCAGGAAGCTGATCAGCTATCTGGAAACAGAAGGGAAGATTTGATTAGGCACCAGGGGGTCAGCCATGGGGGGCTGTCAGCTCGCAGCGCATCTCAGAGGCATTCCAAACACAGGTCAGAGAAGGGCGAACTTGTCTACATTCCTGATCCAGCGGCTCTCTGTTCCTTGGGGACAAAAAGGGGGTGGGGGTGGGGGGAGAAAACAACCTAACCTTTGCCCAAAGTTCCAAAGGGATGAAAACTGGCCAGATTTTCTTCTGATTTTTTTTGGCTTTTTTTTTAAAGGTCTCACTCCAAACTAGCAAGTAATTCAAGCTGTAATTTCTATCATTTGTGTTTAATCACAATCATCTTCTGTCACAGCTGGGTCTTAACTGGGGGAGGGAGGAGGGAATTAAAATGTAGAAACCTCTATTATAGAACAACAGTGATTTCAGACTTTGAATTGATGAACTTTCATGTATTTGTCTCTATGTGTCTGAGGAGATTTTATTCTTGAGACCCAAACGAGGCTTTTGAATAAGAGAGTAGAGCAATTGCTGTGGAAATAGGCATTAGCCATAGATGAAATCAAATGCATGGATTGCAGTAGAAATTAACATGCTTGACTAGGCATTTTCTTTGTCTAAGATGTAGTCCTGGAGGGAGAGACCCATTAATTTCCATAAAGATAATGACAGAGACATTTTGGGGGGACATGTGTTTGTGACTTTTCTGAATTGCTCTATTGTTTCATCTAGGAATGGGGCACAGGTAGGCAGAGAGAAGTGGGAAACAAATCTGAGAATCTTTGGGCAGCTGTAATGAGCTAGAGTACCATGATGAATATTTAGGATGACCCTTTAGCTCAACAGGACAAGGAGTTAGTGATGATCATATTCATTTGCTAAGGTGCTTCCAACGATAACAATAAAGAACTTAGAAGCCAATGTGAGGAGGCTTGCAAAGGCTGCTGAAAGCCCCGTCTAATTCTCCGGGCCGAAAATTTCCCATGACAAGCTCATCACTGATGGCAGCAACAGGCCGGGGTGGCAGGCGGTTGGGACTCACACCCAGCAGTGCTAGAGACTCACACTCAGCAGTGCTGGCCCGGCCATGACCTCCGCCAGCTTTGTTGCTCCCGTCTAGGCCACCTTCGCCTGGTCCAGCTGCACGCTCCCCTCACCATAAAGCGCTTGGCTGCTTTTGTGAACTCCTGCCGGCCTTCCCTCCAAAAGGGGAGGGCCAAGAATCCCACACAAGCCCTGGTTCATTAAGGTGAAGAGGCCTCATCCTCATTAGCAGGCCTGGGAACCAAACCTCTTTGAACCTTCTCCCTTTCAAGGCTATTAGCAGAGGGCCGCTGAACACTGATGGCCATATTAGATGCAGCCCACTGCCAGCTGTGGGAGAATAGCAGTTCACCCAGTGGTGGGCAGATTCAAATCACTCACAAGGGCAGGGGGCTAGCTGGATTTATGGGAAGGCTTCACTTCCACAGCTACGTTTAGTGATTCTGACAATCAGTTACTTGTATTCACACCTCTGCTTATTTACAAAATTCATCAGTTCTAGAATACCCTGACCTGTTCTGAAATAGTATCCCTGGAAAATAACCATGTGGTGCCCTACAAAATGAACGTTCATTTCACTGCCAATAGAAGGATCCTTAAAAGTATGAACTCTTTTGGACAACTACTTAAAGATAATTTTTTAAAAAAGACAAAACCACAAAATGTATAAAGTATGGCTAGAACCTGTTAAAAAGAAAAGAGCTACTGGCTTTGTAAAAGCTCAAGGAAAACCTACAACTCTTCACAAATTAAAATAAATAAAGGAGCTGAGCGCTGGTGGCTCACACCTGTAATCCTAGTTACTCAGGAGGCTAAGATCTGAAGATCATAGTTCAAAGCCAGCCAGGGCAGAAAAGTCTAGGAGAGCCGGGCACTGGTGGCTCATGCCTGTAATCCTAGCTACTCAGGAGGCTGAGATCTGAGGATCGCGGTTCAAAGCCAGCCCGGGCAGGAGAGACCATGAGACTCCTATCTCCAATAAACCACCAGAAAAACGGAAGTGGCGCTGTAGCTCAAGTGGTAGAGCGCTCGCCTTGAGCTGAAGAGCTG